AGGTGAGATTGCAGCAAAAAGGGTGCCCCTTAGAATGTGCAAGGATGTGGAATTAGCAATGAACCTATGTATAAAAATGTAACAAGGGCTCAACAGCAAAAAATTTCCCCCCTGAAGGGACAAGGGAATGCAAATTTTGCAACCTTTAGGTGAAAAGGAAAAACAAGTACCTCCTCACACCCTTTATAAGTAACAACATTGACAGTTGTGATTGATGAGAAAGTGGAAAATTGAGACAGAGTATCTCCAAAAACAGGTGTTTTCGGGTAAAACAAGTCACAGACATGCCTTTTGATTTAAGAAATATTATAGTTTAATTAGAAAGAGGGTTAAAATTAAAGTAAGGTTTAGATAAATAGCAGTTATAATTAAAAGATAAATGTTTATTATAGATGTAGGTATTAGTTAAATAGAAAGAATAGGAAGTAATTAAGTTTTAAGGTAAACTTAAAATTATATACACTTAATGTAGGTTTAAAATTAAATACATTTAGGATTAGAAGTAAGATTAATTTCATATATAAGTATAGATTTAGACATAAGTTTTGTTTAGAAATATAAAATGTAAAATGGGTAGAATTAAGAAAATAGAACAGCGAAGGGAAGAGATTCAGTTGGCCTAGAGGTCACAGGATGTGATTGATAAATTCTTGGCAGCTGGTATTTTGTTACACCACCGGTAGCAGGAAGGAACAAAATGAAACTTGTAAAGGTCAACTTCCCCATAAACAAAAGAAAAAACATGATGTAAACATTTAATGTGTAACATGGGATACATTTTGTGGGTAAGGGGTTCAGTAAAAAAACTATATAAGCTTGTAAGAATTGAATAAAAATTGGCAGTCTTGAGCTCTCCCCAGGAACAAAATTCCTGTCGTGTTCCTCTTTTCTTTTTTGCTGCTTCCTGATTCCCCCGTCTCAAGCCCTGACTCTCTCCTGGAGCTGTACTCTAGCAATTTATTGTAGAGATGAGGTCTCACCAAGTAGCCCAGGCTGGTCTCGAACCCTTGGGCTCAGGCAATCCTCTCACTTCAGCCTCCCAAAATGCTGAGATTATAGGCATGAGCCACCGCACCTGGCCTTATTATTATTACTATTTTTTAAGAAATAAGGCTGGATTATTATAGGGTCATACCTGTAATCCCTGCACCTTGGGAAGCCAAGGCAGGAGGAAGCTTGAGGCTAGGAGTTTGAGGCCAGCCCGGGCAAAACAGTGATACCCTGTTTCCACAAAAATTTTTTTTAAAATAGCCAGATGTGGTGGCACACACCTGTAGTCCTAGCTACTTGGGAGGCTGAAGTAGGAGGTTTGTTTGAGCCCAGGAGTTCAAGGCTGCAACACTGCACTCCAGCCTGGGTGACAGAGTAAGACCCTGTCTCTACAAATTTTTTAAAAAATGTTTTAAATCAATAATCGGTCAGGCGCAGTAGCTCAAGTCTGAAATCCCAGCACTTTGGGAAGCCAAGATGAGAGGATTGCATGAGCTCAGGGGTTTGAGACCAGTCTAGGCAACTTGGTGAGACCTCTTCTCTACAATAAATCAAAAAATAAGCCAGATGTGGTGGCGTGTGCCTGCAGTTCCAGTTATTTGGAAGGCTGAGGTGGAAGGATCACCTGAGCCCAGGTCGAGGCAGTGGCCATGAGTGTACCACTGCCCTCCAGCCTGGGCGACCTACTTTCTTATGTGAATGCTCACTGCCATGTATTATTGTATAATTTTGCTCTTACAGTAACTACAAATGTTTATACCTCAACTGCATGATTGAATTTCAATATATGAAACACTTGTTTCTAAGGAAGCATTTGATTTTTTTTTTTTTTTTGAGTTGGAGTCTCACTCAGTCGCCCAGACTGGAGTGCAGTGGCCGCTCCCAGCCACCGCAGCCTCGACCCGCTGGGCTCCAGCGATTCTTCCGCCTCAACCTTCCAAGTAGCTGGAACTACAGGTGTGCACTACCACACCCAGCTAATCTTTTGGTTTATTGTAGAGATGAGGTCCGCCAAGTTGCCCAGGTGGGTCTCAAACACGCAGGCTCAGGCAATTCACTCACCTCAGCCTCCCAAGGCACGGGATTACAGGCTGAGCCACTGAGTCTGGCTGCATTTGATTATTAACAAATCCAAATGCACTTGACTTGGTTACATGAATGGTGCTTTGAAACATATCAGATAGGATGCTATCCTATGTTATCATAGCATTAGGGACTGTACATGAGTTTAGGGATGCCAGAAACAAGGCTGCAACAGGCATTGGGCCAACTGCCCTTCAGAGACCCAGGGGTGGCAGGGTAACCACAGAGCAGAAGCAGGTCCAGTGCAGCCTGCATGCTGGGCGCTTTGGGGAGACTGTGGCAATCCTAGAGTGGGAGGGGACTGTTTGTGGCTGAGGAATAGAGGGGTCAGGGGCCTCTTTAAAGAATGGCCTTGGATTTAGACCCAACTTTCCCAAGAGAGGTTCTATTAGCTTGGGTGGAACTGTTTTCTTTTCTTTTTTTTCTTTTTGAGTCGGAGTCTTATTCTGTTGCCTAAGCTGGAGTGGGGTGGTATGCTCATGGCTACCACAGCCTTGACCTGCTGGGCTCAGGCAATCCTTCCACCTCAGCCTTTCAAGAAGCTGCTAATTTGATTTATTGTAGAGATGAGGTCTCGCCATGCTGCCCAAGTTGGTCTCGAACCAGTGGGCTTGGCAATCTTCTCGCCTCCGCCTCCCAAAGTGCTGGGATTACCGGCGTAAGCCACTGCACCCAGTCAGGGTGGAACTGTTTTCATCATGTAGGACTGTCTCCAGCATTGGTATCACTCAATGCCAGAGTGTACCCAATCATGGGAGCAATCATAAACAAAAACAACACTCCCACACACACCGCTGGCTTGCCAGCCTATTTCAGCACTGATCTCAGGTCATTTTCAGTTCAAATGCCCTGCACGCTCACTGGGTTCCTCTTAGTCAAAAGGCCAGCAGGCAGAATCTACCTTGTTCCCACTCAGCAGTGGCAGGCAGAGATACCTCTGCAGACTAAATATTTGCTCTACCATGTGGAGAGCCCAATGTGGAGTAAGTCACCAAAACATCTCTACCCCACTGCAGGGCTGATTTCTCAGTTGTTGGCAATGATGATGGTGGTGACTAAATGGATGCTTACTATGTGCCAGGCCCCACCCTGATTCTCACCATAACTTTAAGAGGCAGGTACTGACATTAAACTCATTTTACACATACAGAGATTGGGGCGTAGCAAGTCAAGGAACTAGCCTGAGGTCACATGAAGTAAAACCGAGGCTTACGGAAAGCAAATATCTTGTCAGAAGCACTATGGCTACTGCAAAAAAAATAAATAAATAAAATCATCAAGATTTTAATACAGGCAGTCTGACTTGCCATGATGGCCTGCTACCTATCATTTTTAGAACCCGAGTGATATGCAAAATGCTTTTTTCCCCTTTATTTACTTTTTTCTTTTTGAGTTGGAGTCACACTCTTGTCACCCAGGCTGGAGTGGAGTGGCACTCTCACGGCCACCATAGCCTTGACAAGCTGGGTTTAGGCAATCCTTCCACCTCAGCTTTCCAAGTAGCTGAAACTGTAGACACATGCCGCACACTGGCTATACTTTTTTATTTTTATTTTTTTGAGTTAGAGTCTCACTCTGTCGCCCAAACTGGAGTGCAGTGGCACGCTCCTGGCCACCACAGCCCCGATCTGCTGGGCTCCGGTAATCCTTCCATCTCAGCCTTCCAAGTAGCTGGAACTACAAGCATGTGCTACCACACTTGGCTAATTTTTGACTTATTGTAGAGACAAGGTCTCGCCAAGTTGCCCGGATGGGTCTCGAACCTGCAGACTCAGGCAATCCACTCGCCATAGCCTCCCAAAGTGCTGGGATTACAGGCTGAGTCACTGAGCTTAGCCTACTTTTTTTTTTTTTTTTAAGTCAGAGACTCACTGCTGCCTAGGCTAGGGTACAGTGACACTTTCATGGCCGCTGCAATCTTGACCACTGACCTTCTGGCTCAGCCTTCCAAGTAGTTGGTACCACAAGTGTGCACCACCATACTCGACTGTCAACCTTTTTTTTTTTTTTTTAACTTATTGTAGGCTGGGCCCAGTGGCTCATGCCTATAATCATAGTACTTTGGGAGGCCGAGGCAAGAGCATTGCCTGAGCCCAGGGGTTGACCAGCCTGGACAACATGACAAGACCTCATCTCTACAATAAATCAGAAAATTACCAGACAGGCATGTTGGCACATACCTGTAGTTCCAGCTACTTGGAAGGCTGAGGCAGAAGGATCGCCTGAGCCCAGCAGGTTGAAGCTGTGGTGGCCATGAACATGCTGCTGCACTCCAACCTGGGCACAGAGTGAGATTTCAACTCAAAAAGAAAAAAAAAAAAACTTATTATAGAGATGAGGTTTTGTTAAGCTGCCCGAGCTGGTTTCAAACCCCTAGGCTCAGGTAATCCTCTTACCTCCACTTCCCAAAGTGCTGGGATTATAGGCGTGAGCTACTGTGCCCAGCCTCTTGACTTAGTATTTTTACCAAACTCTATGGTCAGTAATTTTTTTTTTTTTTTTTGATTTGCAGTTTCACTCTGTCATCCAGATTGGAGTGCAGTGGCATGCTCCTGGCTACCGCAGCCTTGACTTGCTGGGTTCAGCGATCCTTCTGCTCAGCCTTCCAAGTAGCTGGAACTACAGGCGCGCGCTACCATGCCCGCCTAAGTTTTAAAAATTTATTGTAGAGATGAGGTCTTGCCAAGTTGCCCAGGTGGGTCTCAAACCCATGGGCTCAGGCAATCCGCTCACCTCGGCCTCCTAAAGCATGGGATTACAGGCTGAACCACCGAGCCCGGCCTATGGTCAGTATTTTAATCCTTATTTATAGACAAACATAAGGCTTGATGGGGTAAAACAACATGCTCTGCTATGCCCATTCATGCTCTGCGTTAAGTTCCTTGACAACAGCACAAGGGTGAATAGAAAAACAAAATTAGGCTGGGTGCAGTGCTTCACACCTGTAATCCCAGCACTTTGGGAGGATGAGCTGGGAGGATTGCTTGAGGCCAGGAGCTTGAGACAGCCTAGGCAAAATAGCGAGACCCTCTTTCCACACAAAAATTTTTTTTAAATAGCTGGGTTTGGTGGCTTGTGCCTGCAGCTACTTGAGAGGCTGAGTGGGAAGATTGCTTAAGCTAGGAATTTGAGGCAGTGAGCTATGATAACAATCTAGCCTGGGAGACAGAGGGAGACCCTGTCTCAAAAAGAAGAAAAAACAAAACAAAAACAGGCTGGGCTCAGTGTTTCAGCCTGTAATCTCAGCACTTTGAGAGGCTGAGGCGAGTGGATTGCCTGAGCCCGTGGGCTCGAGACCAGCCTGGGCAACTTGGCAAGACCTCGTCTCTACAATAAATAAAAAATTAGCCGGTGTGGTAGCGCGTGCCTGTAGTTCCGGCTACTTGGAAGGCTGAGGAGGAAGAATCGCTTAAGCCCAGCAGGTAGACACTGGGGTGGCTATGAGTGTGCCACTGCATTCCAGCCTGGGTCACAGAGTGAGACTCCAACTCAAAAAAAAAAAAGAAAAGAAAAAAAACAACAAAATTAAAGCCAAGAACCAGGTATCAATACCGTTATCAGGTATTGATACCACTGGAATTTGGCCACACTACTCATACTTCAACAGAGCCAGGCCTGTGACTGGTGTTGGGAAGCAATGGTGTTGAAGATGGCTGCTCCTCTCTACTGAGCATGATACACCAGACAGGATAACTTTCTTTTTTTTTTTTTTTTGAGTTGGAGTCTCACTCTGTCGCCCAGACTGGAGTGCAGTGGCCGCTCCCTGCCACCGCAGCCTCAATCTGCTGGGCTCCGGCGATCCTTCCGCCTCAGCCTTCCGAGTAGCCGGAATTACAGGCATGTACTACCATGCCCGGCTGATTTTTTGGTTTAGTGTAGAGATGAGGTCTCGCTGCCCAGGCAGGTCTCGAACCCACGGGCTCAGGCAATCCACTCACCTCAGCCTCCCAAAGGTGCGGGATTACAGGCTGAGCCACTGAGCCCGGCTACAGGATGATTTTCATGTACTCACCTACTTCATCTTCACAATAACCATGTGCAAGTAGATACAACTCTTGACCCTATCCTACAGATAAGGAAACGGAGGCATAGGGAAGTTTGGTAATTTGCCCACAGTGACAAAACTAGTAAATAGAAAGAAGAGTCAGGTTTAGAATCAAGGCAATCTGGCTCCAGAGTTCAAGATTTTACATGGTATGTTCAAGGAGGGAAAAAAATGGTTTCTAGGCCACAAGGGGGTGACAGTAGACCAACTTGGGATCCCGAAGGGAAAGGTGCTGGAATATACGTCACAGGAATCACAAAGCTGAGATGAAATGCAGGTTGATGCAGGGCTCCCGAACCCCTTCTGGGCTGGGATCAGCAGCAGTGATAGAAACTGGGAATGTGGGCTGGGCGCGGTTGAGTCAGCCTGTAATCCCAGCACTTTGGGAGGCTGAGGCAAGAGGACTGCCTGAGCCCGGGGGTTCGAGACCAGCCTTGGCAACTTGGTGAGAACTCATCTTTAAAACAAATCATAAAAACTAGCCGGGCGTGGTGGCGTGCATCTATAATTCCAGCTACTTGGAAGGCTGAGGCAGAAGGATCGCCCAAGTCCAGCAGGTTGAGGCTGCAGTGGCCGTGAGTGTGCCACTGCACTCCAGTCTAGGCGACAGAGCGAGACTCCAACTCAAATAAAGAAAAGAAAAGAAACTGGAATTGTGGTTTCTCTGGGAAGAACCTGAATGTACCGATTCCCCATTTCTCTCCTGGCTGACCCCACACCCAAGAGGAAGGGGAAATTTATTTTTTTGAGTCAGAGTCTCTCTGTTGCCCAGGCTGAAGAGCAGTTGTATAATCACAGCCACTGTACTCAACTTGCTGGGCTCAGGTGATCCTTCTGCCTCAGCCTTCCAAGTAGCTAGAACTGCAGGTATGTCACCATGCCTGGCTAATTTGATTTATTGCAGAGGTATGGTCTCACCAAATTGCCCAGGCTGCCCAGGATTGTCTGGGCTCAGGCAATCCTCTTACCTCCACCTCCCACAACGCTGGGATTACAGGAGTGAGCTACTACTCCTAGCCAGGAAACACTTTAAATCAGGGTGAGGTAGTGTTTCTCCAGGGGCTGACTTGGCACGTAGGGCTAGATACCTTTCTCAAGCCTCCTGGGTCCTCACCCACTCCATGCAGAAAGAATTTTGTCCTCAAAACTGAAAAAGATCCCTGAAGGCTGAGAGCTTCCAAGCTGGCCTTGGAAAGAGGCAGGACAAGGAGGTGGATGGGAGCAGTGATGGGGTGGCCAGGGGCTCTGGAGGCAAAGCTCAGCTACAATTTCTACCACTGACCTGCTCTGTGCCCTTGAACATACTGTTGAACCCCTCCAAGCCTCATTTTCATCTGCAATTAGGAATTAAATTACTGACTGCAGGATTTGGTAGAAATATTACATAAAAAAGAAAAAGCATTTTGCATATCGCCAGAGTTCAAAAAATGGTAGCCATTAAGACATCATGGTAAGTCAGACTGGCTGGGTTAAAATCCCAGGGATGTAATTTTTTAGCCATAATGCTTCTGGGATGACACATCAGGCTTCTGTAAGCCTTGGTTTCCTCATCTATAAAATGGGGGCAGGGAGGGAGTGCATGCATAAGAAAGGGAGAAAGACAGAGGGGTATCTTCTTCACAGGTTACTGTGAGGGTGAAGTCATCTAACCTATGTAAAGCATGTGGTATCTGGCACACAGTATGTGCACTCAATGAGCATTAGCTAGGATTTCTCTGTTGGAGTCCTGACTCTATGTGATACTGGGCCAGCCAATACCTCTCTCTCTGGGCCTCAGTTTTTTACTTTTCATTCTTTTTTTTTGAGTCAGAGTCTCACTCTGTCGCCCAGGCTGGAGTGCAGTGGCACATTTATTGCCACCACAGCCTTGACCTGCTGGGCTCAGACGATCCTTTCATCTCAGCCTTCCAAGCAGCTGGAACTACAGGTGTATGCTACCATGCCTGGCTAATTTTTTGATTTATTGTAGAGACGAGGAAGCTTCATGTTCCCAGGATGGTTTCGAACCCCTGGATGCAGGCAATCCTCTTACCTCAGCCTCCCAAAGTGCAGGGATTACAGCGTGAGCCACCGTGCCCAGCTTACTTCTCATTAAGTCAGGGTCTCACTCTGTCACCCAGGCTGAACAGCAGTGGCACAATCATGGCTCACTAAAGCCTTGACCTCTCCTGGGTTCAGGTGATCCTTCTGCCTCAACTTCCCAAATAGCTGGGACTACAGGTGCATGCCACCATACCCACTAATTTTTCATATTTTGTAGATACGAGGTCTCACCATGTTGCCCAGGCTGGTCTTGAACTCCTGGACTCAAGCAGTCCTCTTCCTCTGGCCTCCCAAAGTGTTGGGATTACAAGGTGTGAGCCATCATGCCCAGTGAGGCTTCTGCACAGGAAGGCAGCTGTGCTAGAATGGTCTTTTAGGGGTCCTATGGAATTCCAAGGGCTTATACCAGGTTAATAAACAGCATCTGATTAACATTCTTAAGGAAACCATTGCTTCCATGACCTACAAGATGCTGGGATGGGAATGTGTGTAGGGTCCTAGTATGGGGCTGACGTCCACAGGCAGAGCTGGCACCCAACTGCTTGCCATCACCACTCAGTCAGTTACCTTTTTCATTGATGTCTGCTGTCCAGTGGATGTCCGAGTCATGTGTGAGCTGGGCCTGGAAAGGGGAGGTGTTAGGGAACAGGTCCTTGTCCGTGATGTTCAGCACTTGGGGCACAGGGCTTTGGTTGCAGATGGTGATCTGATGGGGCTCAGGGACTGGGCCATGGTCATTGACATCGGTAAGTGTCAGCAGGAGGGTCCCTGTGCCGGTGGTAGGAGGGCTCCCTGTATAGAGAAACACATATGATATGATCTCTTTTCTGCATCTGCCCTTGGCTGGGCTGATGTATCAGTAAAGCTTCCCTGTGACCTACTCAGTTAGCCCTGGGAAGGCTCCTGTTTACTGCCCAGTTCTAACAGCTCAAGACCTTCTACATTCTAGTTTCAAACACACGGCAAACACATGCCCCTCAAGTCATCCAGCATTCTCATTTTGGTCCACAATGGACATTACCAACTGATCACAGCACGTCTGCAGCCACTGCACCCAGACAGCCACTAAAACCACAGAGCCAACCTACTGGCCCTCTCAGAGTTAATCCAGTGTTTGCTGATTAGTCCCGGGAAAGCTTCCTTTCATACCCTGCTGTTACCTCTCACCTGCCTGCAGGCCTTGGGCTGTTATATGTCAAGCAGAGATGGCAATTATATCATAACCCCTATCCATCACGATGTGACTCCTGGTCACTAATCAGTTATGGCACTTTCCAGGCAGCCTCTACCAATCAATCTCAAAGGGAAACTGACAGACCAAGTCAGGGCTCAGTGAACCGAAAACTTAGGTTGAAGGAAGGGAGTCTCCTAGCTATTGGGTTGTAGGGACATGAGAATCAGTCAGTAACACTAGGACCAGTCTTTACAAAGACTCCTCTGAGAGATCCCTTTGACCCTCTGGATTGGTTTGCAAATACCCCTCCCCAATGTCACACTCTGCCTGCAGAGAGAACATGCTGTGTCGTGTGACCTGGTAACCCAAAGTGGCCTCTGTGGAAGGGCTGGGAGGAAGTTCTCACCATTGTCCGTGGCCGACACCATGACTTCATAGATGTTGTTTCTCACAAATTGCTCATCCTCACGGTCTAAGAGGCCTACAGCAGTGACCTGCCCACTCTCTGGGTCCATTGCCAGCCACCCAGCTGGGTCTCTCAGGATGTGGTAGCTGGAGAGAAAAAGTTGAGAAGAGTCACATCCACATCCAGAATATTCAGAATCCTGGTGTCATCCTTCAAGGCCTCCTCATACCAACAGGCAGATATACTCTGGGCTCCTAGGCAGGACCATGTGGAAGATGCATCTAATTTGTAAACGGGAGCCTAAAGCCCAACAAGGACACATGGACAGTGAGGATATGCTTGCTCCGAGTCCCTGCTCAGAAACTTCAGCCTGGAAGAGGGTAGGAAAAAGAGGTCCCATGCAGGGGTGATGTTCAACATATTTAATAATCTTTCTGGTTATTAGGACAAACACTGGCCACAATGAACAACCCATCCAACTGCACTGGTGCATCTGGCTGACTTTGAGCCCAGCCCAGCCCAACTGCTGAATACCTGATCTTCTGATTTTCCTTGTCAGGGTCTTGGGCAGTGTAGACACAAATGGGTTCCCCGATGGAGATGCCCTCCTGGACCTCGATGACTTTAGAGGGTGGGACAAACATGGGGGCCTCATTTGCATCCTCCACGTGGACCACTACAGTGGCTGTGGAAGTTGGAAGTTTCAGCACAAAGGGAGCCTCGTTGATGACTTCAACGTACAGAGTGTGCTGGTTTTTGGCCTCAAAATCCAAGCCCTACAAAAGAAGAGGAAGATGGATTGAACCTTCTTTCTTTTAATTACAAAATTTTTTTTGAGTTAAAGTCTCACTCTGTCACCAGGCTGGAGTGCAGTGGCATGCTCATGGCCACTGCAGCCTTGATTTGCTGGACTCAGGCAATCCTTCTGCCTCAGTCTTCCAAGTAGCTGGAACCATTTTTTTTTTAGTTATAGAGACGACATCTTGCCAAGTTGCCCAGACTGGTCTCAAATCCCTGGGTTCAGGCAATCCTCTTGCCTCTGCCTCCCAAAGTTCTGAGATTATAGGCATGAGCCACCACACCCAGCCCTGAACCACCATTTTTTTTTTTTTTTTTTTGAGTTGGAGTCTCACTCCGTCACCCAAACTGGAGTGCAGTGGCACATTCCCAGCCACCGCAGCCTCAACCTGCTGGGCTCTGGCGATCCTTCCGCCTCAGCCTTCCAAGTAGCTGGAACTACAGGCGTGCGCTACCATGCCCAGCTAATTTTTTTTATTTATTGTTTTATTGTAGAGATGAGGTCTTGTCAAGTTGCCCAGGTGGGTCTCGAACCCATGGGCTCAGGCAATTCACTCACCTCAGCCTCCCAAATCACGCAATTACAGGCTGAGCCACCGAGCCCGGCCTGAACTACCATTCTGAGATGAAATCCCACGCAGTGCAACTGATATGTTAGAAGCAAAGAGCCAATAATACTGAGGGGCTTGAGGCTCCCACAGCAACAATGCTCCCTGTCCTCTCAAGCCTCCTTTGTTTTCTGAGTAGACAGCTAATGTGGCCTAGAGGTAAGTTGGTGGAATGGAATATTGGTTCCCAATGGGGTGGTGTTGCCCCATAGAGGCTGTTTTAGAAACTTGGAGGGATTTCTAGTTGCCATGATGACTGGGGATATCACTGACATTTATAGGCTGAGGCGGGATGCTATGCCCCACATTATAGACATGAGCTGTCCCACGTGGCTTACCAGTTTTCCCTTGGACATTTATATACTCATGAGTGTGAAAAACCTGTTTATAATTAGAGTCTAGAACATGTTTTACATATAAACCAAGTTTTTGGAGTGGTTTTAATATACACTAAATTTTCTAGGAATGCAACTTCTGAGGAGAGCTTGTAATTTAATCTGTTTATGACTTTCCCAAGAGTTGCTTATTTGCTGTTGTTGTTTTTTTTTTTAAAGATATAGGCTCTTGCTCAGTCACCCAGGATGGAGTGCAGTGGCACAATCAGAGCACACTGCAGCCTCAAATATCTTGCCTCAAGTGACCCTCCTGTCTTGACCTCCCACTGCATTTGGATGGTTCTTCAGAAAGATGCAGGTAATTGACCACTTTGCTATGTTTTATAGTATAGCTGTGCCCAAAAGTTTACATACCAAAATATTTTATATTCTGGAACTTTTTCTGTACATTTCTCCTTCATTTTATAGCTAGGGCATTCTACTTTTCTAGAAATGATGTGTTAGGTTATATTACACCTAAACTTCATTTCACAATGTAAAAGGGGCATTAGAAAATATTTGTTGCAAAAAAGGAGACAGTGATCCAAAACAATCAAAGTATTATATAAAACTCTGCTTCTCAAACTAGGCCATTCTTCATAGTAAACCAAAAGGTAAAAGAAATCGAAGAAAGATTAAGCTCATCTTCCTGAAGCATCAATTTTATTCAGACTTTTTGCCCCAACCCATGTTCTGTACCCCAATGAAAACAAAAATTCATAAAAATTAAAAAAATTTTTTTTGAGGCAAGAATGTGTTTAACCAGTGACTTAAAACATTTTATTATCTAAATAAACATCTAGACATGAGTTACAGAGTAAATGCAACATTAGTATGGATTTCAAAAGACAGAGATCCTTTGTGTGAGAAGACTGATTGGGGGGCAGCCACTGGACACTGGGTTCTGGGAAGATATCTTCACTGATCTGCTTCATTTCCATCAGTGATTCTTATCTGCTTATGAATTGGGCTCCTGGATAAGATTTAGTTAACCCAAAGGGACTCCTCAGCACAAGAGCAGTGGGACAGCGTTGGAAGGCACCGGCCTGGTAAATGGCCCAGGGTAGGTGGCCTGAGGCAGTGGGTGGCTCCTTGTCCTGGAGGCTGCAGACCCCAGGTATGCTCCTTACCTAAATCCCAGACTGACTTACCTTCTGGGTCATCAGGATGCCCTGGTTGCTCTCGGGGTCGGTGGTGATGGCAAAATGGTCTCTGTCATCACCTCCCACAATGTGGTAGGTGGCATGCCACGCCAGCGAGTTGGGGGCATCTAGATCGGTCACTGTCAGCCTCTGTACCTCATGGTCCACTGCATTCTCGGGCACATGGGCTTCATACTGCCAGCATGGGAAGTACAGCATAATTAGAGTGGAGAAGGACCATCCCGAGAGCCTGTTCCCTTCTTCAGTGGCTGGGAATCTTCAAGGGAGGCAGGGGGGGTGCCTTCACCCTTTTCTGGACCACCCACCCAGTTAGCAGACTGTCAGGGCACACACGAGGAACAGATAACACTAACCCTGGGCCTGCCTGTGCTATACCCAAGGGCCTGATGTTCCAGGAATCTCATGGCTCTGGGTGCCCAAGCCTCGGCCACGTGTAGCTGTCTATCCAGCTGAGATCAGAAAGGTATAAGTGGCAGGAAAGGTTAGGTGCTTGAACATGCCAGAGCACTGACCAGGAGCTTTCTGGAGGTTCTGGGACAGGTGGCAAAGACGGGGAAATCAGCTGCTCAGAACAAATGTTTAATCGGGCCTAAATAATGTTCAGCAGTCAGAGCTGTCTCAAGATGGAACAAAACTAGGTGTGTGTCACCTTGATTAGTACTGAGTCCTCTGTCCCCGTAGGTATACAGGCTTTACTGGGTAAGGTGGACAGGTATAGGTATGAGGCAAGTAAGTTTTCATATCAACAAAGATTTTTATATTGAGCACTTATATATCAGGCACTGTGTTAAGATATGTACACAGATTATTTCATTTTAAACTTAGAACAGTACAGCAAGCCAGGCACAGTGGCTCGCACCTCTAATCCCACACTTTGGGAGGAGGAGAGGATTGCAGTTCAGGGGTTTGAGACTAACCTGGGCAACTTGGTGAGATCTCATCTCTACAATAAATAAAAAAAAATTAGCTGGGCATGGTGGCACATGTCTGTGGTTCCAGCTACTTAGTAGGCTGAGGCAGAAGGATCGCCTGAGCCCAGCAAGTAACGCTGGGGTGGCCATGAGTGTGCCACCGCACTCCAGCCTGGATGACAGAGTGAGACGCCAACTCAAAAAAAACCAATAAACCGGGCTTGGTGGCTCAGCCTGTAATCCCGCGCCTTTGGGAGGCTGAGGTGAGTGGATCGCCTGAGCCCGCGGGTTCGAGACCCGCCTGGGCAGTGAGACCTCATCTCTACAATAAATC